ACACACACACAGAAAAGCTTCAAAGTATCATCCTTAAGTCAAATTGGGATTAACAAAATCATGTAGCTACTACTGTTTATTCCCCAATGACATGGATATGTAATTACATTTTCATAAATATTTGTTAAGATATAGTCATATATCGAGTAGAAATAAGGTTATAAGATTCAAAAGATGAAGATGATTCAACTTTTGGTGCAAAAGAACTATTGTATGTCATGCAATGGCTGTAACTTGAAACAGAAGGTAAGCCTTATGTTGATTGATCTATAATGTAAATATCACAGGCCCACCTTGGAAGGTTATTTACTATCAGTAAACATAACATTTAAAATTTGTATTAGTTAAACATAATTTTTGAAGTTATCTAAGAATGTATATATCATACATGCTATATAAATACTGGATTATGTGATGGAAGTTAATATACCAAGGGCCTGTGGTATCCACTTATGAATTATAACTTTTGTATTAATGGTGTGGAAAGAATATTGTCACAAACTTTGAAATTTGATATTAAACCAGTATTGATGATTGCTCATACATGAATGTTTCTGTTTTTATATAGACAGCTATGCCAAATACTTAAAACTATTCAGTGGTATTAAAATGCTATGCAAATAATTACTGAGTTTTTGACGTAACTTTGAGGATGTGAACGGTTTCTATCATCATGTGTATATATAAAGCAGATTCTGATTCCTGGTTTAAATTTTTGTTGAAAAAGTAACAAGGAGATAGAAAGTCATGCTCACTGAAAAATAAAATCTATGCATAAAAGTTTTACACCAAACATTTTATGTACTTTTTAAACAGAAGTTATGATGGTTTATCTAAAAGAACTTTGAGGAAATAATATACTGTAGAGATAACACTCTTGAACTCTATTTCATATAGCCTACATATATCCCAGTCCCAACAAACATGCTCGTCCTTTCAAAGAGGGAAGGCTGTCAAGTGGGTTGCATCCTTGACGTAAGAAACAGCTTTAGAAACGATAGCAGAGCAAGATCTGCCATCGGCTCGACGGTCCGCAAGGACTATGGGAAAAAACATATATGAACAGACATTGGGAATGCTCATTACAATGTTTAGAAAGAATTATATTAAAGAATTTACCATTCATAAATGAAGTAAGTAAACTAATTACAACTGAATGTAAGACTGAACATTTTATTCACAATTTTAAAATTACTGCATTTAATTAAATTTATTGTAAACAGAAAATCAATATATACAACTGGTGAACAAATTTCATGGGATTTTGATTATCACAAAAGCATCTAATTGAAGGCAAAGTCAGTGACAATAGAGCATGCATACTTGTAACTTTGAAATGGCTTAAGGTTCAAACCTTCAAACTAAAGAATAATTGCTAGGCTTTCTAAAGTGTTAAATTGTTTTTTATATACATCTCTATTCCATTGTGTGTGATATGTTTCTAGTTGACAGAAATGTAAGTTTAAATAATTTAATGTTGCTATGGAAGTTAACTCAAACTTATTTGCAGTTTGAGAAAAAGTTTCTAACAGATTTTCAAGCATAAATTATACAAAACTAGAAAGAAAAATTGTATTTTTGACTTATTGATATGGCTTGGCTACATTAAATACCTCATAAGTAATGTGTTGTATTGACTCATGGTGTGATTTATCTTCAACTATTGTGACAATTTTCTGTTATCTTGTGAAGTCATTGCATTACATCAAGTTTTATTGCTGTAATTTGTATTCTATTTCAGTGTAATTATCAGAATTTTTAATAATTTTGCTTTTCTTACAAGGTAAATTTGGAACTAAACTTTGTTATCTGTGGTAAATAATGAGTGTTCTCTTCACTATGAGGAAAAAACAGCATTTATATTCTTATAACAGTGCCATTGTTATAATTCTGCTCTTAGTAGAGGTACAGTACAACTTTATAACCACTTTGCATATGTTATGCTTTCAAGATTACTGTTTTTACTTCCAACATTTTTATTACTTCAATTTGAAAAATAAAGTCTGAAAACATAATCATTTTTAGATATAACTAAAGCATGCTACCATTTGAACAAATGAAAAAAAGATATAATTGGTTAATTATGTATTTTTCATTTTGTGTGGGTAGAAGAAAAATAGACAAATAAAATTACTGATTTCAAAAATGTAAAACTAAAGATTATTTTTATTATGGAAATCATAATAACTTGAAGTTTAACATACCATAAAATCTTAATTTTAAAACCTCATTCTGGATAATCAAATTTAGTGAACACTGTACAATTGATGATATTGTGTATTATGCCTTAAAGCAGGTTATCCCATGAGAACTATATAACTACCCAGAATGTATGGGGTGGGTATACTAACTGAAAACTTAAGAGCTGAGAGTACAATTGTTTTTCAATCTGGTACATTACCTCCACTCACATAAATAGCTATTCTCATTCAGTGCTGTCCTCTATATGCAAAAATGTTTTTCACACAAGCCTTCTGCCTCCCCTCCATTGGAAATGACTCATTCCAACGTGTGTTTCATGCAAATTACTACATGCCAACCCTCCACCAATGGGAGTACCACCCACTCTCGTTATGCATGTGACTCCCTCTATTCAATTCTATCACTATCACGTCTTGTTTGACAGTTTTTTAGATGTTTAACATTTTACTTTAGTGTGCTTCTTCTTTATAACTTAAATAGTTATACTTCTGAAGTGGTCTTCTTTATTAAACATTTTTGGTTAAACAGCTGACGTCTTTATTTTCAGTTCACTTTCCAATCTTTATTTTTTTTCCTTCCTTTTGTATTCATCTATCAAGAAATTTGTTTGATTCATTATTTACCATGAATTCTGATGTTAATGTTACCACTTTGGGTATCACACCTCCTACAAGCACTTTCACTGGTGGCAGGTGGGGGTGACCCATCGTTGGATTTATCTGTGATTATTTGCCAAGTAATTGATGGTTATATGGGTCAACCACCTTCTCCTGAACATGCCCCACTTCCTCACGAATAAGCTGAACCTGTTCAGTCTGATGAAGATTCTGATAGCCTTTTTCTACCATTGGATTTTGCTGTGTCTTCCAATGCCACACCTGCAGAATCAGCCTAACCCGGCATTTTTAGACATGATTTCTCAGGTATGTGATGTTTTATACCTTCTCCAGATATTAGAGCTCATGCTGAGCATATAACTTCCCAGTTGGTTGAGGGTGCCGGCATTTCTAGACTC